TTGAATACCCTTATACCAACACCCCACCCCACCCCACTCAGTGCCAATTTACTGTATTAGTCCATTGTCACATTGCTATGAAAAAAAAAAACCTGAGACTAGGTAATTTATAAAGAAAAGATGTTTAATTGACTCACAGTTCTGCTTGGCTGAGGAGGCTTCAGGAAACTTACAATTCTGGCAGAAGGCACATCTTCTTAGGGTGGCAAGAGAGAGAATGAATGCAAGCAGGGGAAATGCTAGACACATGTAAAACCATCAGCTCTAGTGAGAACTCTCTCACTATCATGAGAACAGCATGGGGGAAACCACACCCATGCTCCAGTCACTTCCCACTGGGTTCCTCCCATGGCACATGGGGATTATGAGAACCACAATTCAAGATGAGATGTAAGTGGGGACACAGCCAAACTATATAACCATATCACTTTGTAAAAATACCAATTCCAACCATGGGTAGGATTAAAAAGAGGATGAGTCCCAGTTCTCTTGGACCACACAGGGTCTTGCCTGCCCCTAGTGTTCCTCATTGTTTCAGTTATGACAGGGAAAATACGAGTTGGATTTTATTTTCAAATGGAAAACTGTGGTTTCCAAGAATTATCAAAGTTTAGAAAGAGAAGATACCCACAAGAGAATATCAGCCAGGATTCACTCAGAAAAAAAAAAAAAAAAAACAATCTGGCTATTGACAGAGTTTAATTCAGGAAATTGGGTAGAGAGCTGGTGGAGATCTCAAAAGGTACAAAGTGTGCACAAAGGTATCAGAGAGGTAATACTTACAGGAAGCAATTGTGAACCCTAGGAGTAGGAGGAGCAAAGGGAAATGAATCTAGAAGCTCCTAAGAGGGAACCACTGGGCTAGGATCCAGAATTCTAAGGACACTGCCTGGCTGCCCACTCTGGGGTGTGTCATTGCTGAGATGAAGCTAAGAGGAAGAGCAGGCAAATAGGAAGAAGCAAGCCCTTCTCTCCTCCACTGGGTTCTAATCATCCTCTGGCAGTTCATACTGGCAGGATCCAACAGCACTGGCAAAGGGAAGCATGGTTTGTAGGCCCCAGTGCCAGGATCACGGAGCCAGTAAAGATGAATGGATTTGGAGCTGAGACACTAGTTTGATGACTGGCACAAAAAGCATTTCTGGGTCCCTTGAGGGTCCCCCTCACCCTCTTTCTTACACACAAGACTCTGAGGTTCATAGAATTTAAGAGAACTATTTAGGACCTCACATAACAGCAGCACAACTAGGGCTCACAAGCATGAGTATGTAAAATCATAGTGACAATTAAAATGTTCTTTCATAAGGTAGAAAACAGTCAATTTTGAATTTGTTTCAGTGGTGGAGAATTTTATAGATAATAGATGTATTTAGATGAGACATTTTCAAAATGTGTTTGGCTTGTAAGAGTCATACTAATCACAGTAATTTGTGTGAATTAATTACTAAGCTATGGAATTATGATTGTGTATGCTAATACTAAGGGTCAGATCAATTTTGTTGTTTTATTTTCATTACAACACCAAGCCTCTGGTCATACAGGTTCATTCTCCATTATTTGTTGTTTATATGACATATCCATCCATACAAGACTCAAAAGGTATTTAGCAACAACATTGCCTGTTAGTTTTCTACTGGAGGCAAGGAAATGATAACCAATGCAGCCACTAGGGAAAATATTCTCCAATGATAAGCCCAGTTAGTTCAGATATGTAATCTTTTTCATAAAATCTCTGGCTGGTTCCTGGGATATCAGAAATGATATTTTTTAGATGGCTTAAGATCACCTTAAAACATTCACAGATGGTCTAATATAGGCAGAAAAGCACAGGGAGTCTATGGACTATTTGATCTCAGCTCTGTCACTTTAGAGGTGAACTTGAGTAAATTACTTTAGTGTCTTACTTGTTCAATAGAGATGGGAATGTTCACTTATTTATTCAACAAATAAATGTTGAATCTGTATTTGTATTTATTCAACAAATACGGAGTGCCTACCATGTGCCTGGTACTGCTCTAAGCGTTAGGAATCCCTCTGCTTTCAATGAGCTTTGCCTTGAGTTACAGTGTATTCGTCTGTTTTCATGCTGCTGATAAAGACATGTTCAAGACTGGAAAATTTATAAAGAAAAAGAGGTTTAATGGACTCACAGTTCCACGTAGCTGGGGAGGCCTCACAATCACGGTGGAAGGTGAAAGGCACACCTTATATGGCAGTAGACAAGAGAGAAATGAGAGCCAAGTGAAAGGGGAAACCCGTTATAAAATCATCAGATCTCGTGAGACTTATTCACTACCAAGAGAACAGTATGGGGGAGCTGCCCCCATGATTCAGTTATCTCCCACCAGGTCCCTCCCACAACATGTGGGAATTATGAGAACTACAATTCAAGACGAGATTTGGGTGGGGACACAGCCAAACCATATCATACAGGAAGGCAGAAAGTAAACACATAAATATATAAAATATCAAGTAGCAGTATATAATACAGGAAAAAAATAAAACAAGTAGAGAATGATGAGAGTGAACAATTTGTACAGAGTGGATGAAGAAGACCTGTCTGTTCATGTAACATCTAAACAGATATCTGAAGGAAGGAGGGAGCCATATGGATATCTGCAGAGCTTTCCAAACAGTAGGACCTGGAAGGAAGTACAAGGGTCCCTGGCAGAACACATTTAGAGAGGATATTGAAAGGTAAGGCGGAGGGAGGGGAGTGGTCAGAGAAGAGGTCAGCAAATTGTGGGGAGTGGGGAAGGGGCAGGAACAGATCTTGCAGTACCTTTTAAGCCACAGGAATCCATTACAAAGTTTTGAGCAAAGGCCTGACATGGTCTGACTAGTTTTTCAAGAAGCATTATTGCTAGGGTGCTAGGGGCTACCATGGGAGGCAGGGAGACCAGTTAGGAAGTTATTGTTGTAATCTGGGCCAAAAGTTATGGTGGCTTGGAAAAGGATGCTAGAAATGGAGATGTTGAGAAGTGTTTGGGTTCAAGGTGTATTTTGAAGGACAAGTAAACAAAATTGCTGATTTGCAGTGAGAGGTGCACTTAGGGTGGTCCCAAAGTTTCCCCCTGGGCAGCAGAAAGAATGGATGCTATTACTAAAAAGAAGGCAGCAGTGGGAGAGACTGCTTAATCATTGTGAGCCTGTTGTGAGATAGTAACTCACTGCAGTAAACAAGAAGATGTAAATGAAACAAGCACTGTTCTTGGCCCACAGTAGGTATTCAGACAATCTTAGTCCCTTCCTTATCTTTTGTAACACTTCTTTGTTACCTCTTCTTGTTCTTACAATGAATTTATTTGCTATCCATACACAGACACAGCTGCCCTTTTATTCACTACTTCTCTACAGATCAGTATCTAGTCAAAACAGTTCCACAACAGTGAACAGGTCAGCAAAACCTCACCCAGAAAAACCCCTAATAGACTACACACTAGACAGACATAGGTCACATTTTTAAATAAATAAAGAGAAATGATTTATGCCAAAATAGTATACAGGGTAATCCTCCTTGTGCTTTGAAGTACTTAGGGCTTCAGCGTACTGAAAGTTCCCCTGGTATTTGTTGCTTTTTAAAATAGAAATTCTATGATGAGTAAAATATTTTGTAAGCATTTTTGCCTTAGAATTTCTGAAGAGATGCTAAGAAACTGAGAAGTTACCAAAAAAATCTGTTGAATTGCCCACTGAATAGATATTTCATGGTAAAATTTCCTACTTGTTTTATTCTTTTGTCTAAAATTTTGAAGCATAATGTTAAAAGGCAATAAGTCATGTAGATTCTACACACTTATGTAAATATGTGTTAGCAATGTTTTATCCAGTGCTCACCTGAAAAATAACCAACATGTAAGTGGAAGCATACAGTCTACGTATTTTTTTAAAAGCTCAGTTCTTTAAAATTCTTTGTTGCAGATTCACTTGAAATGTCAGTATTCAGTTCACATATCTCTATATTCTTAAGAATCATCAGCATTTAATTTATGAGTGTTTTTAGTTGGAAAGATTTTGCTGCTTAAAATTCAGTTCAATCCCCTTGGTCTGAGTTGAAGAATACTTATATCTTGCATTTTTCCCAAAGCCCTCCTCTATGCCCAATTTCCCATAATTGAGCTAATCTTTAATCCAAAGTACAGTGCAAACTCCCACTGCTTCCCCACTCCAGCCCAGGGACAATAACACAGAGAATAACAGAGCCTGGGGACAGATAGCACATCGGTCTCAGGGTCGCTTTTCCTCTGTCTCCAGAAAGCATCTAGTGTATGTGTGACTTCATGTCACATTTAAAGCTGATATATGGTTTAAGAAATAAACCCTGCAGATGCCAAGAAGCAACTAAAGGTCCACTGTTGGTAGGAATCACACAAGAACAGACCAGTTTACTTTCAAGGAGTGAATGCCTTGGGTATGTTCGGCAGCAGGACAGAGCACCTAGCCTTTCCAAAGAGGCACAGGAACAAACAAGGTCTCCTCTCTCTTGCTTGGCAAGTAGGAGCATTGGCAGGGGCAGCAAAACCCTTGTAGATGTCTTAGGTTTGTCACTCGTCACTTTTAATACTAAATTATGGTATGACAGGAACCTCTTCAGGCTACCCAAATTATACAGTGGAAAGCAAATATCTTTCAGAAAATAAGCCAGTATTTAGTATAAAATCCAGCAAAGTAGTTGGCACTGGCTATGAAAAACCCAGGGTTGACTATGCAGTCTTTTGTTCATGTTTTCAAATAAAATTTTTCTAGCTCATGAACAGGGACCCATTTATCTCCAGGAAGAATCTACTTCTTAATGTTTTTCTTTAGGTTTAATCCTTCAAGACCCTGTTTAAACCCTGTTTAAAGCAAGTAGCAAGATTTACCTAGGTTTCATTATCATGGTAACTACTAGCAGTTTTAACTCTACTGACACCAAGTCTATTTTCCAGCGGGAATAGCCCTACCCTTTGACTTGGATGGAAAATAGAATTGGTTTTGACTGATCTGTTTTTTAATTTCAGGAATAGTTGCTGTTCTCTTCTGTGGAGTCACACAAGCACATTATACCTACAACAATCTGTCTTCGGATTCCAAAATAAGAACTAAACAGGTAAAAGAAAAAATTTACTACAGACTCGGTCTCTTTTCTCAGTGAAATGGTTACGTAGCAATTCTGGCAGTATCGTCAGAAAGAATTTCATTAGTAAAGGAAGAATGTAAGCTTAAGGCTTCTTTACGAGTTTGATATTTATAGATTTTTTTTCCCTCCAGGATAACCATTAACAATTCTCTTGGTAAGCAAAAATATAGTTATAATAGTTCTCCCTCCTGAGAGATGTTGAACTTAGACTGTCAGTCTTAAAGATGAAAGGCATACAGTTGATAATAATTCACAGTCACTTACATCTAAAAGCATTATAAAGCATGTGAGATTGGGTAGTTATAGAGAAAGAAGGAAATGAAGAAAAAGAAAGAAGTGAGGTTTGGTCTTTAACTGGGTGCTTTTGATGCCAAGCAAACTCAACTGCCAGTTGTCACACAAGCAGAATATATCTCCCTATGCCAAGAACACATCTGTTTGGATATTTCCACATAAACACACACATAGTCTTTCCACAGACATTTGCTGCACAGCCACTCTGTGCCAAGCACCATGCTAGCTACTAGGAATACAAGAACAGACAGTTTATGACCTTGGCTTCAAGAGGTTCATTATCAAGACTGTTGATGAGGACACAGATGTGTAGCTAACAACTTGCCACAGTTTTATAACTGCTGTTATAGAAATATCTCTATAGTGTCCATAAGGAGCTTTAGTAGGACATCACCCTACAGTTAGGATTGAGAAAGTCAGGAGAAAGTTTCCAGAGATGATGCCCAACCTGGAGCTTGAAATATAAATAGAAGTTACCTAGGTAAAGATCTGGGGTCTACTAGAAGGTAGAAGGTAGCCACAAGGGCATTTGAGGCCAAGGGATCAGCATGGACAATGTCTCTTGAGCAGCCAGTGGAAGCTCTGTAAATAGTTCAGCATGGCTTGTGAATGGGGCAAGGCTGAAGCAAGTGGGATACAGTGAAATCAGAGACAGACTCATGAAAGGACTTATGTATCTTGCGAAGGACTTTAGACTATAACCTATAAGTAATGGGGAGTGGCTTACATAACAGGAATGTATTGTCTCGCAGTTCTAGAGACCAGAGTCTGAGATCAAGGTATCGGCAGGATAACTCCTTTTGAGGGCTGTGGAGGAGAATATGTTCTCTCTCTCTCTCTCTCTCTCTCTCTCTCTCTCTCTCTTAGCCTCTAGAAGATTTCTGGAATCTTTAATGTTCTTTGGCTTCTAGACATATCCACCCCAATCTCTGCCTTCGTGTTCACATAGCATTCTCCCTTCGTGCATGTCTACCACCAAATTTCCTCTTTTATAAGGACACAGGTCATATTGAGTTAGGCGCCTACCATACTCTGGTATGACCTCATCTTAGCTGATTACATTTTCAATGACTCCATTTCCAAATACAGTCACATTTTGAACTACTGGGGTTTAGGACTTCAACATATGAATTTTGGAGGAACACAGTTCAGCCCATAACAAGAAGTCGTTGAAGGGTCCTAGGCAAAATAATTTTAAGATCATTGTAGTTCCATTTTAGGAATATGACTCTGGCAGACATGAAGAACATGGACCAAACAGCACTTGTATCAGTTAGCTTTTGCTGTGTAACAACCACAAAACCCTAGGGTCATCCAACAGTAATCATTTATTGATCACACACCTGCAAGCTTTAGCCATTTTGATCGGGGTTGGACGGGGTGCATCTGCTCGTACCAGCTGAGCTTATGTATATGTCTGTTGGTTTGTTGGGGGCTCTATTCTAAAGTAGGCTTGACTGGTAGGCTTTGCTAGTGCCACATGTTTGTCATTCTTCTCCTGATAGAAGAGCAAGCCCCAGTGTTGAAGAAAGTCCATTTCCATACTGTGCTTGTATCATATCTTCTAAATATCTCATTGGCCAAAGAAAATTATATGGCACAGTCCAGAGTACAGAGGCCAAGCCAATCCCTGACCACAGTGGGAGAGCACTGCAAAGTTATGTGGCAAAGAATGTGGACATAGGCAATGAGGGAGAATTGGACTGAATGATGCAATCTAGCCCAAAATGCAAGTGGAGGTAGAGAGGTCTCTTGTAATAAACATGGTGATGCTGAAGACATCTGATGTGATATTAGGGCAGTGGGAGTAGAGAAAGCAAAAGCAACCAAAGCAAAACCTGTAATTGGCCAGAAATTCCTAAACAGGATTTCCTGAGGGCTTACTTTGAAGCTCTCCAGAATGAGCTATCACTTTCATCCCTCTGTCTTTGTCGCATCCCAAGCTTGACTCTACCTCTACCTGCCCAGGGACTCTGCAAGGTCACCCTTCCCCTCTGCCCATCACCTCAAATTCCTCAGAGGAATCACAAGATGCAATTACAGAAATCTTGAGACCCCCTGAGTGAAACAAAAGAAAAAAGCCCCCTAAACAAAAAACTGATGCCAATATCCAGAAACCTCCAACATATAGTCTTTCAGAATCCCTTTAATTTTGAATACTACTAGCTTTTCCTAGGGCTTAAAGGGAAATGTCTTGGGCTGTTTTTTTCCTAACCTCTTTTGGTTCTCTGAGCGTATTTGTATGCTGGGAAGCTGAACCCTGTTTAGGGACTTGCACTTTTAAGTCGTTCTATCTAGACTGCTCAGCAGAACTTCAAAGATAACTCATCTCATGGCAAGACAGCAGCCCAGCATCTAGGGGAGACAAAGCCAAAATCAGTGCCCATAGCCTTCTGTTCTCCCTCTGAATGGCTTGACAAGCCCTCCCTGACAGCTTGCCAGCATTCATTTTTATATCACTCTCCTTTAGGGAAGATAATTTTACAATTCTTTCCTTAACATCTAGGTAACTGCATATCCCCATCTTTGTTCCCCACACTGCCTTCTTTTTTGGGTGCCTGGCCTCGTAGCAGAAGCTTAATAAATGCTAATTCCCTTCCACTTCATTTTCATCCCTTTCCTCACTTCTTTTCTATCAGGATCTGTCATTTTCTGCTTATTTTTTTTTCTTCTAATATGTACATACACAGCATATGTATGTATTTATACATACTTGCATATCTATGCGTGCATATACACATGCACATCCCATACTCTAGTATAAAGAGTCTAAGGTCCCCACTTTGAAAGAGTGCAATCAGAGGCTCTCAGCCACACCAGAGGCTCTGCACTAGTGTAACAAGCAGAGTTGAAATTCTCATGGGAAACGAATTCCAAATTGTAGAGAAATGCTGAGGCATGTATTAAAGACGTTGCCACTGTGTCCCCTCTGAAACTGGGAAAGGTTGGGGCAGTATTCTATGATGTTACATGGTTACAGGACACAGTATCTTGCTCTACATATCCCAGGTTGCGTTCACACTGTCAATGGGAAGGTAGCAGTTACACAGCTTCTTTGCCTCTGTTGCCAGGACTGTTTAATGAGAGTGTAGGAAGCCAATTAGTAAACTCAGGGAAATCCATGTAAATCACATATGAGTTATAAAATTCAAAGATGACATGATTTACAAAAGAGTTCTATTCAACTCTGTCTATACCCATTAATCAAATAGCTATATCTGGATACAAAGGCTTTAGAGAATTATGCGTTCTTTATAGCTTGAAGAATTAGAGTGCCTTTTTAAAGTTGTATTTTTTCATTTTAAGATATGTTTCGTCCATGATAATGACCCTTTAGATGTAGGAACTTCATTTTTGCTTCAACCTATGAAAACACATGTAACATCACTATGTGTTAGGCAAAAAGCAGTATGATAGAGACACTATGATGCTGTTACCCAACATAATGATTTGTATTTTGAATACCAAAGCATCCTATTAAAGAGTATATGAACATATGCAGCAATTCATTTCCCTGGACTTGGAGTTCTTTGTTGCTTTAGGGTGTGTACATCAAGTCCTAGAGACAGACAGATACTGTAAGCCCTGTCTCTTACCCTGGGAGCTGAGCACTGCTAGCGATACTCAAGACGGACATCAGCACACAGCAGTATAGCCCAGAGGTCTCACCCAGAGCCATCCAGAAGACTATGTACAGACCCCATGAACCCACTCAGATGATTTCCAGCCTTCCTCCTACATATTTCTTCCCACATTCCCTCATCCCCCAGGCTGGCCTGGGAGCTTGTTATCTGGGCCAAACTCCAGGGTGTTCCCATCAGCTGTATTTACCTTGCCTGAGGCTAACTTGCAAACCCATGTACTTCCATAGCATCCCTTTTAATTAGAATTTCTCCTTCCCTTCACATAGTTGCCACCAAAAATTATTGCCAACAATACACATGGGTATATGAAATAAATGTAAATAATTAACATTTACTGTGCATTAACATGTACAAAGTACTTACCTCATTTACTTTCTACTTACCTTTCTACCTAAGAGGTAACTCTTATTACTGATTCCCTTCATGCATTGAACAAATTTTTTTTGAGAGCCTACTTTGTGCCAACCACTGCTCAAGGTACCGGGGATACAACAGTGAACAAAAAAAGAATTTCTAGTTGAGGAGCTTCATAGCAGTCAAAATAAATAAGCAAAGTATACAGTGCACTCATGGTAAGACATAAGGCCAGTAATAAAGCAGGAATGGGTAGCTAGGAGTATATGATGGGAAGGCAGGCTTGTAATATTAGATTGGGTATCCAGGAAAAGCCTCAGCAAGGTGATATTTGAAAAAAGTAAAAGAGGGAGTCATGTGGACATTTGGGACAGAGCTGTAGAGAAATCGGAAATGACAGATACAGAGGCCCCGTGGGGCAGGAGAACCAATGTGGCTGGTATGGAGCGAACAAGGGAGAGTATGAGAGAAATAGCAGAGCAGTGAGAAGAGACAGGTCGTGGAGAGCCCAAATGAGGTGGGGAAACACTTGAGACCTTTAAGGACAGGCATGTACATACATTTTAAAAGAATAGAAGTGTCCATTATTCACTAGGGAAGACTATAAGAGTAACGGGTTTGGGGGGAAAATTATGAGCCCAGGGTTGACTTGTTAAGTTTGGGATGTGTATTAGTCAA